CCATCATTTGAACCCTGCTGGAACCCGAAATATGCACTTTTATGTTTTCCAGCGCTCCAAACAGAAAAATGCAAATATCTCGGCGCCTATGGGTCGTAGAGCAAAATCCTTGAAAATCCTTTGTAACAGGAGCACATGAGAGGCAAAGAGGTATCCGCTTTTCCCGCCAGTTTCGTTGGTACTTCCCTGCAATGCATCCAGAACTCGAACTTGAGCTGCAGCATGACGCCAATCGAAGTTGTGGAGCAGGAATCCGGAAGACATGAGGAGCAGCTCGTTTTTTTTTTTTAATGTTTCCAGGACATTCGTTAGGGAATGATAAGGAAAGGATTTATGTTCGCATGAAAATTTGAAAAACCTGGAATTGCCTACCAGGATCACAGAAGACTCCAGGAGTTACTTTCCTCCGCCATATTATCGTCCACCTTTCCAGGAATTGAAATGGCTGACAAATCACCAGAAGAAACGGGGTTCACCAATTCTGATTCATTTCAAATTTGCAAGTCGAATTTGTTCCAAGTTAAGGAAAAATAAATGACAACAACAATTGATGAACAATTAACACTTTAATTGCAATGATTTACATTTTTATGATTTATATTTGCCTAGTCTATTTACAATGGATTACATAAATGATCTAGTAGAGATAATTCTTAGATATTTCCATAGGTCCAATCACAACTATTGAGCCTCCACTCGTCCCTCAGGCGCTTATGAATAATAAAAACATCAAACCTCTCATTATAATCTAGGCCGATGAACCGTTACATGTACGTTAGATGTTTAAGAACTATTTATTCATCTCGACTAAACAGATCTTTAATCCAACAAACTTGCAATTTTTTATTACCATTTCGAATCATGAATTATTACTACTCCATTATAAACGTTTCGTACATTTTATAAATAACCGATTTGCATCAAATAAATGTTTATCAAAAGAAAAACAATTCCGTACTGAAGTGATTAATTAGGATTAGCAAATTTTTTTTCATAATCACATCTAATTTTTTGCATAAATATTTTCTAACATCAAATATTATTATTAATTCCATTAAATCGAAAAATTGAATAAACTGTTTTGAATATTCAATTCATTCAATTAAATAAAAAAATTCACTTATCCTAATGCACCAATTATTATAACTAAATTTATTCAATGAATTCGATTAATTCGAAAAATGAATGAATTCATGAATCGATAAAAAAATGAAATTTGATGAATCGACAGTAAAACGTAATTTTACTTGGTACATTATAGAGGGTAAGGTCGAGAAAACTGGGACGATGTCCGGGGCAGATGGGCAGGTCTGTATGTATGTGGGTCGTCGTCTAACTGTTAACCGTACCGTTTCAATTCCCGACCATCTCGAAACCGCTTCCAACCAATCCATTCCCTTCCTCCACTGCTCCCCCTCTTTCACCATTCCATCATTACGATTATTTCCACCTTTTTTTATCACTCCTTTTCTTTTTCTATTGCGTTCCCTCTCGTGCGAGAGGTATTGCATTCCTCAGGTTCTGGAATAATCCTCAGAGTGTGGAGGAACGTCAGTCGTGTTTCGTTAATCCGCTGGTGCACTAGCTTCTCCGAGGTTTTCCGATTGAGATTTGTTATTTCCTTCAATCGGTGATTCGAGACGATGCTGAGGACATAATCGTGATTTATTATTTTATTGCTGTGGAAATATTTGAGAAGACTTTGGAGATCTGATTGGGAGGGCAGAAGGTAATCAGGTGATGGGATTATCTATAATTGAAAAACCCATCCATTTATTTTTGGATAAATTTTTTATAAAACTTTGTTATATCAAAATTAAATATTTTAAAAATTAAACTTGAAAAATTATCGGTTCTCTTGAATTTTCTATCGATTAGTTATGAATTCATCGATAGAAATATTCAATAGAAATTCCAAAAGGTTTTGACATTTGTTTTTACTGAGAAAATATTTTTTAAAAAGTGCAAAACGTTCTCGAAGTATTCAAAGTTTCACAAAGAAGGAAATAATGGTGGAAAGTGACCAGCGAGGGGAAAATTGCGGGCTTGAATCACCGAGAATCACAAAAAGTTATTTAACATTTTGTTATTCAATCAAACCGACTATTTGTCAACCAACCTCAAACACTCGGTTAATTATTTCTTCCCTAATTAACTTCCGCCTCGCAAACCGACAAAATTTGAACAATCCCCAGAAATTCTAAAATCCATTTCCATTTTTCCAATAACCAATTAAATAATTTATTGAACAATGTTTATGTCGCCCTACCGGATTATCTTCATTTGCAATAAAAAAAACAATTTTTCTTAACCCCAAAAATTTATTCCTCTCACTATTCCTCAACTGAAAGTTCCCGACTAACTGTAAATTTGAAAGAGAGAAGAAATACCGAATTACGGAGTATTTCCGTGAAGTTAATGAGAAAAACCTGTGACTTCCGCAATTTGGTGTTATAGAAATGGCGATCGCGGGTTATCTCGTAATGACGGTCACTGTGGTGATAGCCCTAATAGTGCCATCACCAGTGACCAGTGACTCATTGATGGGTGGCCACCTGGACAACGAGCCAACAGTTTCCCCCACCGATGACAAACACCACCACCAGGCAAACCCACCATTAGCCTTCAACGGTGGCCAGCCATTTTCCCTGGAGAAGGATCCCGTTACCGGACAAATCGACTTCGCCAAGGCACCACCATTTAAAGCCCTGAATTACACCGGTTACGCGATCAACGATGTACATAAAGAGGAAAGCAACCGAGAAGAAACCGAGAACGACGCAATAACGAGTAAAAACGATGACGATCATCAAATACCAAACGAGATAAATCCATACTCCCCGTCATTCCACGATTACCTGAATCTCCCAGTGCGCTACAACAATCACGAGAAGTACACGAGCGACAAATATCCACTGATATCAAGTTCCTACGCTAATACAAAGGTACAAGGTGGCTCATCAGGCTTCAAGATCTACAATTCCCTCAACCACAAGAACTACAACAGCATAAGTCACCCGGGAAAGGCGTCCACGTCGCAGTCGTACTCGAATACGAGAACGCCATACGTACCGAGAACTACGAGACGTCCCACGACAACTAAACCAACCACACCTACCCCGAGAACACCAACAACAACAACGACAACGAGACCGACGACGACGACTACTACAACTACAACTACAACTACAACTACAACAACAACTACACCTACACCTAGACCAACAACGACAAGAGCGACAACAGTTACGAGGAAACCGACGACGGAAACCGTTACGACATGGAAACCACGACCGATGGATCGTTACGGTGTCGATTACGATGAGGATGTAATGCTACCGATTGAGAAAATGCAAAGTTCTGGGAATGGCGATCAATTTGTGTCTTTCCCGAAATTTGATTACGAAGAAGGGTATGACTACCTGCACATGGAGCCGTCGCCGACGACTTCGAGTAGCTCAACAGTGAGAACTACGACGAGACCCACAACAAGACCTACATCGACGTCTACATCCTCACCCACAACCACAACCACTACCACTACCACTAAACCGAAATCACCTGAAGGCCCGACGGAGCCCCCGAGGTCATCATCGAATACCCTGACGATTAATGAGAACAATCCGCGACCAGTGGTCGTCAATGGCCACCAGAACTACCCGAGCTTCAACGATCCCTCCCAGAGCTATTCCTCTTTCAATCCTCTAACCGTCGAGTCCTCGAGCAACGTAATAGTCCCCCCCGACCAGGACACCATCTCCTTCGTCCTCGGTAACCGACAAAATGTTCAGGGCTCATACTACGGTCACGGCAGCGCAGTCGCCGAATCGCCGTACGGCGACGCGATCATGTCCCCAAATCGAATGGATACAGGTTTCGATCACGATTTAAAAATCGGTGTGCCATCTCCAGAGGTTCAAGCACCAGGGGATGCCCCCGTGCCCTCAGGATTTCAATTGCCCCAGAGGGAGGGAACTGGTGGTAATAGTGGACAAAAGTGGTGGTTCAGTGATGATCAATCCGATAAGAGCCAGAGTGTCTCTGATAACGATAAGGACAACCGAGTTAACGTCGGCGCGGGTTATCGCGTTGTTTTTCCGACGGAGTCGTCGACGTCAACGAAAAGTCCATCGACAACTGATGTTACGACAACGGGAGTACTGGGGGCTCTCGGATTGTCCGAGATATCTGATGTGCTTGTACCACCAGCTGTGGATAGAGTTCGTCCTCAAGGACGTCCACAAGGAAATCCCCAAGGCCACCCTCAAGGACATCCACAGGGAAATCCTCAAGGGCATCCACAGGGAAATTCTCAAGGACATCCACAAGGACATCCACAAAGTCACCCCCCAGGTCGTCCCAGTCACTACCACTATCACTCACGCCCCCTGGACCTCCCCAACCGAATCCCCAGGCCACCGAACACTTACAAAATTCGTCCACCGATGGACTTGAATCTACCGAACATTCTCCCACAATTTCGACCTAATGTGAAAACCTCCCAAAGACGAGGAAGCGAGGCAATCGGTACACTGATAATTCCAAGCCCAAAATATCCGACCCGAGTCTCAAGGCCACCCCCATCCCACCGACCACCCAGATTACCCTCCCAACCCGTCTCACCCCTCCAACGAATGAAACCGCCACCTCCCCCACCTCCACCGATCTACGCCCTTCGATTGCCCTCGCCGGAGGCCCTCGTGAATCCTGGACCAGAGAACAAAGACACACCGTTCCGTAGAAACCCAGGTGAGGGCCTCATCGACGAGAGAAATCGTCAGGCCCTGAAATCACGTCTGAACGACGAGGGAGGAGACAAATTGGATGGCCATCCACCACGCCCACCAGTTTTTTTCCCGAGAAAGAGTAACGACACGAGAGTTGCGACCCTCCAGATGCTTCAGCATCATGGAGTCGAGGGTGAGGATATGCAGGGTGACGAGTCCGCGGAGGACAGAAGAGTGAGATCAGATGTGGCACCTGTATTCGTCGTTTATCCCGTTAAAGGGGCAATTGGAATGGATGAGGGTGACGATAAACACTTGGAGGAGAGTGTCGTTGTGGGGACTCATGGTGGGGAGAGGCCCCTACCACCTGAAACCCTATCCATCCCCCAGGTGGTGGATGACGAGACTAAAGTACCGGGTAAAGTCGTTATCTCGGATTTCCCTTATCCCCTAGAGCGCCCTGATCCCGATTCATTTATTACTCCTGTCAAGGAAAGGCCACTACTAGTACCCAGTGAACCAGCCCAGGAAGATGATGAGGAAGATGGTATCAAAGAGAGTGTAAATGTTATTCCTTACCTTCAGGATCACGTGCCGTTCGCCATAAAACCAAATGCCATATCCACAACTCTGCACGTTGGGTCGAGCCAGTCGTCACCAGGAAGTGAATCAACACCAATAGCTTTTGTTTATACTCCAACGATGAGGCCACATCAGTCGACAGGACCCAGTGATGTCTACGACAGGAATCCAGTTTTATTGCCGTCACAGCAGCCCTCGAGCTCTTCAAGTTCAGCACCATCACCACAAAATTTTTTGGCACCATTTTTCGCTAGTGTCAGTGCTGAGGTACCCTCCAGGGACGGCTGGAGTGTTGTCATGGTCAAGGAAAAGATGAAGAATGGTGATGCCCAGGAGAGGGTGAGCGATATAGATGACAATGTGAGAAAGAGCGAGGCTAATTCCACAGCTGATACTCCTGGGGATGATGTCAATGAGGGACTGCAGACCGAGTCAAGTGATTTTGACGCTGAGAATTTTAAGCCACAGCTCTTCGGTGGATTCCAACCCATCCTTGAGTTTCCATCAGACTCCGGGGAGGTACCCAGTGAACTGAGGAATAAAGAAGTAGTCGGGGTTGTCGACGAACAATCCCCTAGATCCGTTGATAATTCACGTGGATAATTGTTTAACATTATTCCTCAAACTCTTCTCTTCTCACTCATTAAGTTAGTAAGTGGTATAATAATTTGTTCATTGTCATTATCTAGATGTCTGCGATGTCTCCTGACTCCTCAGACAACTCTATGATCTCCGCTCTCTCATCTCCCATTTATCGCTGATTTGTTTTTATATAAATAATAAATTGTATATTTATTCAAACGTGGAATGTACTTTGTACGTATGCGGTAGTACCGAATCTTTAATCGAGTAATTTTCATCGTGATAAATTACTCCGATACTGTTCGCATATGTACGAATTTTTAAATATAAAATGTGTTTTTCGTTATTAACTAATCGTCTTGGTACACACATGCCACAACTGCATGTACGTATCACGACTCGATATATTAATTGAATGTAATTTTATCTTTGTTCGTTGTATCAAGTCTTGTGGGTGGATTATTTCGTAATTAATCAGTGATTGATCTATCGGAAATCGAGGAAAATTCAATCATCACTCCCTTTCAACATTAATTAAATGAAAAAAAAAAAAAAATGTCAAGTCATCTTGTGATCAATTATTAATTGAATTTCTTATTGATTAATGATAGCTTATTGATTTTCCTCGTTTTCCTTTTGTACTACTGCACTGATGATTAATTGAGTAATAAATAAACGTATTATACTGATCGTGAATTCCAATTATTTTTTGGATATAAATGCACTGCCCCTCAAGAGGATCTCAAGGATTCCCTTCTTCGGCGAACCCTGTCAACTTCCAAATAATTGGAGATCAAGCTTCAGGACAACTTCGCCATTATCGACCTCTCGTAGTTTTATTCGCTTTTGAATTGGACCGCACGAGTCTTTGCAGTCGCGCATTATATCGACAATTCGAACTTCCGCTCGTCCAAGGAAATCTTAAGAAGTAAAAAACGATTCTCTTGTATTACGTATTAATTCAATGATCAAGTGATAAAGTAAAATCATTCAAAAATTATAATTAATTCAAAATTCTATTGAAATTTTAAAAGTGAGTATCTGAGGATTTATTCCAGGAATTTCATTGGCTTTATCACTCGACTATTGGATTATTCTATCATAATTTGATTATTGGTACTTACCGTCTGGTGTGTAGTAGCTTTTATCGAATACTGTTATGCACAACGTATCCTCGTTGAGGTCCTTGATCTGAAACTGCATGGAAGTGTCCCACATCGGACAATCTGTCCCCGAAACCACAGGAGTCCTCTCCTCCTGAGAGCCCATCGAGACTTTGCAGAATGCATTCGATTTTCCTAAATCCACAGATCGAACATTAAAACAAATAAATTCACACGTTTAAATAATATATAATAACTGCAGTGTTGTTACATGCGAGCAAAAATTCAAACAAAATCAATAAAGAAATGCATAAAAATTAAAAAATTGTGCATATTAATTAATTAATTATCTCGGAAATGAACAATTCCACAGATAAATGTCAGAGACAATTTTTTATGGGAATTATCTTGAGGTATAAAAAATTACTCTGACATTTTTCAGTGGTTTCATTATTATCCGATATAATCACGTGGACACGTGAGAAATTAATGTCATTGGGATTTAATTGAAATGTGATAATTACGATGGTTTTACCTTTTTTCACAACTAATTCCTCCCCCTCAACAATAAAAACGTGCAATCGTCCTTTAGGTTTTCTGCGAACTAAATCATGCGGGATTGTTAGTGGTGCACTACGTGCAAACTCAGGGATTGGATTAGTGCTTTGTTTTTTCCTGGATAAAATTTGAGAAATGATTTAAAGCGCAAGCAGAAGCAATTGTGCATTTTTTTTTGTGGATTTTTGGGGAGACACTGGGGCTTACCAGCAGGGGTTTTTATGCTGCTTCCCTGCAGCACTGTCGCCAGGATCCTGCCACAAGCACCAAATTGCGCTTGTCCTGTACCGCACATTGCAAGGAAGAAATTTTGATTTTAATGTGATAAATGTCGACGGGTGGTCAATTTTACCCCGTGGTAATTCCACAAAAAGTGATTAAATCATATAATTCAAATTTGATTTCTCTCCCAATTTAAAATCTTATTATAGGTTCTACGTGAAAACATTGGGAAACTTTTTTATAGCCAAATCAATTCTCTACAAAAAAGATCTTCTCATATTTTTTTGTAAAACCAATGGATTTTTCAAAAATCGACATTTTATCTCTCTTCAACCCTTTGCTACTGCATTATTCTGTTTTTACATCCCAAATATTTTGGGAATAAAACAAGTAAAAAAACAACTAAATAATCGAATGGGTAATTGATAAAATAAATATTCAAGGAGAATGATGTAATGATTTTTTTTTGCCAATTCCCATGATAATTGATGAAACGAAAATGATTATGAGACGTAAAAATCTTACTTGAGCGTTGACGCTGGAGAAGATTTTTCTCGTTCCTCGCGAATTGCTTACGCGCTTCGTTGATCTTTTTCACCCACAAGTGGCACTCATTAGTGGAAGGTGCCAGTAGAAGTATCGGTTTTTTAGTGGAGTCACGTAGACCTAGAATTCTCGATGTATTATCGTTCGCGTCTGTGTGAATGATATTAGAATTGCCATTGGGCTCAGTCTCTCCGATCATTGTCAGTTCATTCAGGAAAATTGTCTGAAACAAAAAATAACGAATGAAATTTCAAAGATCAAAAGGAAAATCCCAAGATACTGCGAGGAAAAATCGTACCTTCCTGTAGAGCTTGAACTTGTTCTTTTCATTCCTCTCGAAAGAAAACTGCTGACCAGTTGGTAGTGCCTTCAGAGGTTGAGCAAATAGAAGAAAATCATTGGTGAGAAATGCCACAAGTTCTTTACCACTTTTCGCCTGAAAGGGATAAATTGATTATTTATAAATTGTGAAACAGAATTTTCAATCAATACCTTATGAAGAATTCCATAATGCAGAAGTTTCCTGGGACCCGCAGAGTTTGTCAATGAGTTAAAAATGAGTTTCTCCTCGAGTACACTGTCACAGCAAGTGATGTGAGTCTGAAGCCACTCGAGTCGATCGCTGTTCTCCTTCTCCCTGACACCTTCATTGACCTGAGTGCAGAATTCCTCTGCCTTGGCGAGTGCCTCCGTGAGGTACTGCCTGTCAGGATGCTCGAACGGTGTGTACTCGAGAATTTTACTGATAATCAGGGGATACTTGGTGATCCTCTGCATGGGTTTTATGAGAAATGAACTCAAAGGCATCCCCTTGGTCCTCGGATCCTGCTGACACACCTGAGCGATTGCCACGAATTCAGGGCACGTCTCCGTCAGCCTCTGAAGATAAACAGCTGCTGATATTTGACAGCTGCAGAATCTCACGTACGCAGACATCCTTGGGATATTCTCACAGAGGATATCACCGATCATTCTCACGGTACCATCCTCACTGTTGTCTCGTCTGATTCTCAATGTTCTCAGGAAGTTGTCGTTGCAGGCTATTATGTCTCGCCAGTTGACAAATATTCTCTCGACCTCGTCAACGGTTAGGACCATGCTCTGTATCAGTGGCTTCTCGAACACCTCGTGGACTAGTCTCATGTCGTTTATGTACGCCTCCTCCGTGGCTATCAGCTCCCTGATGTAATCCTGCCGCTTCAACTCCACTGGATCCACCGAGGAGATGACGTAGTCGCAATCAGCTGCACATAAAAATAGCACATCTTTTACCAATTCCTCATGTTCTCAAATTCCATCCATCACTTACCGAATATAATTTGACGATCGCGTTCAATGGCGGGGATTTACCAATTTGCATGACCTATTGTTTATTATTATCGAATGATCTGGTGGTTTGGCATGATTTTGACAGGGATTAGACACCGAGGAAGAGCATCTGTGACTGGGTAGTTCGATACTCGCTTTATTTATTTTTATTTTTCAATTTCACTTTCAATTTTTTATTGAAACAATTAATTTTCTGGCTCCACTATTTTTTTGCTGATTGGATAAAAATAAGACCAGATACTTTTCCTTCTATTTTTTTTTTCAGATCGTAAATGAAAATCAGAAAATGAAATAATTCGTCCAAACATCCAAATGACAACAAAGAAATCAGTGGTTTTTTTTTTTCCAACAGACAGACAATTTATTTCGATTTCTTTTTGGTCATGTGTGCGAAGGTAACGTGTATCATGTTCTTCTTTTCTTTTCATACTTGAAAATGATATTTGTGATTAGATAATATCTCTCTATCTCCGCGTGTACAATATTAATTAATATAATGTGTAAAGGATACACATCGGAGGGAGTAAATGTGAACAAAGCGTGATTACAATTCAATTGAAACTAAATATCTGAATGACAAATCGAACATCAATAATCAATTTCATAAGTTTGTTCACACTTTAACAATTCTCTTCATGATTTTCTCAATAATTTGTTTGCATGTTTCTTTTTTTCATTACATGTGACGCTGTTAATAAGTGCCCAATGCATTATAATCTCATTAATTACTGGATTTTTAAACGAACAATAATAATATTTTCTTGACTTTTTCTTCATCATAACATGAGAGAAAACAGAGAGCGCGATGGCAATAGTCACTTGTGTAATTGATAAATTACCGCACGCTCATTACTACGATATTTCAATAATAAATAGGCTTACAGCACGTACCCCGTTAATTCATAAAAATCCTCACGATACGGCCATATTTTCACTACATATTCAACTAACGCGCTTATATTATTCTTGTACGACACAATGTCCAGATATACTGATAAACCTTATTAGAAATTAATAATCTTTAAGTTCTATCTAATAAAACAATTGTATCAATCAGTGGACAATCAATAAACCCTCGAGACAAAATTTCCCCCAATTATTCACTGAATTACGTCGACGTAAACAACTCAAAACGAAAATGTAATAAAAATTTAAAAAAAATAAAAATTAAATAAACATCTTAAAAAAATTGTGCGCTAACCCAAAGAAAACAACATGAGCATAAGAAATTAATCATGATTAACTGATAAATGCGCACACGAGGGGAGAAACTCAAAGTGCTCACACCCAGGCCATTATTTTCAATAACAAATAAATTATGTTTTTTTAACATAATAATGTAAGTAACAGCGAGTCAACAATATGAGCCATTGGGTTTATTACTTAGGCCCCGTTAACCGAAATAATTGGGAAGCCCTGAGACAAATGAGAGTACAAGAAGGGCAGGTAGAGGAAATATTAATTCCACACGTTAATTAATATTTAAAATAATAATTAAACACGAGATTCGATAAACAGACTTGAGAGTTACGTCTGAGATTCAAAATCGTCACGATTGTGACGACGAGACACTCATTCTGAGAGAAATAAATGATTTATGATAATTAGGTGTGGGGAGATGTCACGGAATTGATTGAATAATTAATAAGTCATTGTAAAGAACTAATGGGAATTCCGTTAATTGAATTATGGCTTATGATCTCCCCCAGTTATCAGAAATCCCCTCACACACGTGAGGTTGGCCATTGGATCATTTATAATCGAATATAATTTATTTATATTAATTTGTTTTAACTTTTCTTTATCGTTGTCGCTTTTTTTTTTGTTTTTCCCCTCGACAAAACGAAGGAAAATAATAAATAATTGTTGACTTTTTTTTTTCTTTTTCACAGTTAAATTATGTAAACCTCGCTATTATGGCGCCTCCACTGCGTATCCTTAGGCTGCGTGTCAAGCAAGATGCGAAAGAACATCAATTAGTGGAAATTAATTACTCGGCAAATGATTAAAAAATAATCAAGGGAAATAATAATTAATCAACAATTAGCTCAACAAAATGGAACAGAGCACCGACTCAATAAAAAGTAATCAACAATTTATCTATAAATAATTATTTTCAACCTTGACATGATTAATAAAGAAAAATTTCAGGAGTGAAACGACTGATTCGTCACATAGACATTAATTACTTGATCATATCTCCGTAATGACTGGTTTTAAAGAAAAAAGTCATTAGAACTTTTTTGCGGAAAATGAAATTCTCTGCAAAAAAGTCCCATGATGTTTTCTCATAAACCCCTTGTGTACCAAGACAATTCAATATTTGAGGTGAAGATGAAAAAATAATCTGTCCTATTTTCGTCGACGTTTTACCAATTCACTCCTGATTTCGTAATAATCTCGATAAGGCCAAAAATACGTGTTATCTACCCCGGAAGAATGGACGGACAAGCAGGCAGAAGGATGCACACAAGCGCACAATGAAGCGAAACTTAAATATTCTCTGAATAAATGCGATAACTCTTCCTCGGTATCGTTGACTCTTAAATTATTAGCGAACCCCACAGGGCTAGTATTTTCTACAATAATCTACGCTTCGCGTGTCTCGACGACGCTCGTCCGTCCACCCATCACCATCACTTAATTACTCATTTACATTTTTTTTTCTATTTCGATTTGTTTTTGCTACTCACACATAGGTGTCACGTAGTTGCTTGGAAATATTCCAATGATGCCGTTGAGTTCACCCTTCCACCAGGCCTCCTCCTGCTTCGCCAGGACTGTTATCACCTCGCCCTTATCAAAACTCAACTCATCGTCATTCTGAGCTTGATGAGGATACAGTGCCATCACTCGTTCTGAAAAATCATCAATCGTCATTATTAGTATCTTCTCCTTCCACTTAAAATTTTTCCTCAAGAATTTAATTGAGTAATAATAATTTTTAAAAGTTGATGAGAAATTTGAAATTTCTACTCACCAACATTTGGATCTGTGGGAGAGTCCTGATAACCATGGGACACAGGTGTTGACCTATTGCTGCTGCTAGTCAATGGTTTAACGTAAGACGCTGGGAACCACCCAATCTGTCGTTTTTTACCCCTCGCCTGACAAAAAAACACAAAATAAATTATGAATAAAAATTCAAAAATCATTTCTTCCCAAAATTTTACCTGCAATTCCCCCTCCCACCATCCAGAATCAGTCTTTTTCCTGATCATGATGAGCTGTCCTCTCTGAAGGTCCAGCTGTTCAGCACTGGTTGCCTGATAAGGTGCCAGGACCTGGACAATCTCTGGTTTTCTCCCTCGACCCTGAATAAATAATTCTCATCAAAATGAATTCGCGTGTCAGACAAAGTCAATCAATAAAACAACAATTCTTCTAAATTATCATAAATGTTCGTAAGCAATAATACCTTGTAATACTGCACCCCAGGAAATAATCCAGCAGCATCCACAGATAACAGGAATTAAATATTCCAGTCCAATGTCACTATTAATACACAAATAATTAATTGTGGAATAAATTACCTGTTGCGAAGCCATAGCAGTGAAATCAGGAAGCTCAGCCCTGTCCTCAGCAGCCTGTCGCTCATCCTCGATCTGCTCAGCTGTTTTTTCTGTCGTCTACACACAGAAATATACCAACAAACACTAGCTCAATTACGTTATTACACAGGAGCAATTGCGTTAGCTCGTTACAGTTTTAATTACATTAACACTCTAAATAAATTACAGTGTTATCAACTCCACGAAGACGTTAATTTCTATAAAAAAAATATTAATTTACTCACTGGAGAGACTTGAACAGGTGCTGGAGTAGTTGCCTGAACAGGAGCTGCCGTAACTTGTGCAACCTGGAAAAAAAAAAGATAGAACTACTGAAGAAACTGATGCCAAAATAATTAAATCATACGAAATCTGACGGATAAAATTTCCTCACCTGATTGATATTTGGTTCACATTTCTCAACGTAATTTGAGGGAAAATATCCACTCCTGTTCCCAATGATGCCCGACCACCACTCGCCCTCGTCCTTCGTCACCTCGATTATTTCCCCCTCATTGAAGCTGAGATCATCAGGCTCCGTGGAAGAATACTGATACAAAGCGACATAATACTTTCCCTCCCTTCCACCGACATCACCAGGGACCTGAGTCTCTCCAAGTGATCCAGCCTCCGAGACATTCTCAGGGACCTCAGCGATCTCCTCAAGAGGCTTCCTCTCCACCGAGTCCTGCTGGACAAATTTGCTCCCCTCATTACCATCAACAGGCTCAACATAAGACTCTGGAAACCATCCAGTGTGTCCCCTGATCTCACCAGCCATCCACCCAGGCTCTTTATTCTGCACAGGTGGCACCAGAATAATATCACCCGGCTGAAACGATATCTCCTCGTCATTTCTCGCTACAAATTCATAGAGAGCTCTATACTTGACTATTCCCGGCTCAATATCAGCCTCATTAGTGTCAACTGGCCATGAATCATTGGCAGCTGTCACTGGATCGTTCCAAGTGCTCTCAGCCCACGCTGCACTGGCATAATCCACACCCCCAGATGTAACAGCTCCCCTCAGCTCCAATATCTGACCCCTCTTAACATCAAAACTCTTGTACAGCCCCTTGCAATCACTCGCCAGTGTTTTCATCTTCTCCCTCATTTCCTCAAGCTGCCCATTATTATTCTCGATATCCTGATTCTTCTCAGTAATCTGTTTCTCCAAATCCTCGATCTTGTCCTTCATCTGCTTGAGAGTTATCTGTTTATTAGCAAATGCCATTCTCATTGCCTCCTGTCCAGCTGAATCCTGGGCTGCATTCATTTTATTCTTCGCCTCAATTCTCGCCTTCTCCTGACTGAGAGTCAATAATCTCTGGTTCTGCTCTCGCAATTTATTCTTCAAAGCTGTCATCTCCTGCTGCTGCGAGTCCCTGGTAGCTCTCATACCATCAATTGTTGTCTTAACACCAGAAACACCAACTCTAGTATCGCAAATTTTCTGAGAGAGCTCCTTAACTTTGTCATTGAGTGTTCCCAGCTCGATAGTGAGTGTTTGATTCTTGGCTTTGAGCTTCAGCAGAATGTCCTGCTCCTTCTGACGCTGTCCCTGAAGCTCCTGAGACTTCTGCGTCTCCCACTCGAGTTGTCTCTGTCTCTCCATCTCCTTTCTCGCAGCCTCCCTCTGATCCTGCGCCCTCTTTCTCTGCTCCTCCTTCTCCTGCTCGATCTCACGCTGACGCAACATCTGCTTCTCAATCTCCGCCTGTCGTCGACGCTCCTGCTCCAGTCGTATTTTCTCCAATTTATCAGCCTCCTCTCGCTCCTTGCGCTCTCTCTCCTCCTGCTCCTTGCGCTGCTGCTCCAGAAGTGATTTTCGCCTGCGATCAAGCTCAGCCTTGCCTTTCTCATAATTCTCCTTGCGTTTGTCCTCGAATGAGGACTGTGGCATACCAGCTGATGGATCAACGACCTCAGGTACACCACCAGAGGTGATACTACTCTGGCGCTGACGACGAAACGTGGGTGGAACAAGATCTTGTGTCAATTTGTCGGGAATAGTCTCACCAGCTTTTGCAACATCACACAGATGCATTGCCAGGACAAATTCCTCACACCCAAGTCGACCATCTGAATCCATATCAGATAGTCCCCAAATTTTAGCAAGAATATTCTGTGGCAATTGTGTCTGTACCATGATATTTCTTGCTTGTGGCCCTGATAAAAATCCAGTCCTCGTTCTGTCGCAGGTGTTGAATATCTGGGTATACTTGAGCTTTGTCTGATGGGGCACTGACCACTCGACAGTGGGTGGAGAAGTCACTGACTGCTGACTGTGCTGACTGTGCTGACTCTGTTGGCTGTGCTGCGAGTCAATGGAACCCACTCTGTCAATACTAGGAGGTCTTGCAGTAGTGCTCAATGGAGTATTCGTAGAAACTGGAGTGCCCATTACCCCTGCCATCGCTGCTGGTACCACTGATGGCTGATGAATCGCTGAAATTCCATTCGAGGGAACCGATGGCATCATCCCAGGGACCAGAGGCACTCCAGATACACTGGGAATCATCTGGCCCATACCAAAGGCCTGAATTGGCGCTGGAGTTGTATTGAGAGGTGCTATAGGAGCACCTCCAGGCATTGGAACGACTGGAACGACTGGAACGACAGGAACTCCCATTGGCATCTGCTGAATGCCCGAAACAACCTGGGGCTGCACCACTGGAGCAGCTGAAGCAACTGGACTATTTGGAAATGACGGTGGAGCGGGCTTCGGTGGTGGTAGAATACCAGTCGTTGCGTTGAAACCAGCACCTGAGGGGTCAATGGGCTTAGAAATATTTTTTTAAGAAATGGAAAGAGGGAAGCAGGTGGACATACCGATATTGACTGGTGGGGCGGGTCTCTGGGGCGGCCCAGGAACTGGTGATACTGCTGTACTTACGTTACCTTTTACAGGTAAAGGTTTTACTTGTTAGTTTTTGTTAAGAGAAGAGATTCTCCAAATTCCATGAATTTCTTTTGTAATTTAATGCATCACCAGAGGCAATAAATATGTATAAATCACTAAAATTATTTCATTTTATAATTTCATGAGTGAATTCCAAATAAAATTGAACTGAACCCGTTAAACTTCTCATGTTATTTCTCTAATTATTGAGTAAGCAGGTAGGTTTAAACATCCAAATGAAATGAATATTCAAATTTTAATGAACATACCCATGAAGGGTGGTGCAGGTCTAGCGGGTGGTTTAGCTGGATTATTTGTTGGAAGTGTACCACTAGCACCACTAAATTGTCGCGAGCCTGTGTAATTGTCATGCGAGCACACGAAAAACATATCGTGAGCATCAGTTATTGTCGTGATTACATGTTAATTATGTTAGTATTTGTTGTGCAGGTTCATCTAGATGATTTATCCCAATTATATCATTTTTTACGACTCACCAAGTGGCGCCTGCATTGGCGGAACAACTGGCCTTCCAGGTGCTGTCATCACTGGCTGAGCTGGTGCTCCACCAAGATTCACTAGAGAGCTGACATTCTGAAATCCTCCATTTGATACCGTCTGAGGAGCTGTTGGGAATTAAATACTCATTATTCTCTAAAAATCTCAGGAACTGAGGGATAAAATTATTATTTAAAAATTCCGTAAACAATTTAATTGCAGTGGACAATTTAATTAAAAAACCGAGAGCTACCTGCTATTGGTGATTGTAGACTCTGAACGAGAGTGGGAGGCAGTGTCTGTGGCACCTCGAGACCTCTCAATTTCAAATGGATCAGCTTGCAGGCAATGCTGAACTCATTGACATCCATTTTTCCATCGGCATCAGTATCCGAGAGCGCCCAGATCTGCCCCAAAATCGGTGGTGGCAGCTGAGAGCGCAATAAAAATCCTTTAGCCTGTTCACCAGTGACAACTCCATTCACTGGTTTAAGTGACTCAAACTGCTCCTTGTAGTGAACTTTCTCCCTGGGTTGAATAGTCCAGGGATCCATACCTGCGTAATTACAATAATTACAATAAACCAAAAATTGTCTCTATTCCACCAAGAGCATATAAATAAATACTAATAAAACGTCAAATATTTGAATATAAATAAATACAAATTATTGCATTTATCTCGTTAAATAGCGATACCAGAGAAAAAAGCCAGTGGAATATCCCTTAGATCATTAAATTTCCCATAAACACTCTTTACGACTTTTTCCTCTGTACCCCCTCCCCACCCACCTAAACCCGACAAGTCGAAAAAATCGATCTGTCACTTGTGCAATCGGCAGAAGCCCAAGGAAATAAAAAAATATATATAAAATCGATAATTACCTCCAGCCTGGGGCATAGCCATCTCTAAAACTCGTCACTCCCTTCCTCTTCACTCCCACCTGTCAAAAAAATGCCAACAAAATAATTATAAATAATCCCAAAGAGTCGATTACTCCAGGAAGACCCCACAAACGTCAAATCTTTCTAACCTCCAATTCAATGGATCGATAAAATATGTGTCAACGAATCAAAAACACTTTGATAATGAATTTGTGAAAGATGGAGGTGAACATAAGGGGGCGTGTGGTCTCCTGAAGTCGATCAACCCAATTGAAAAAAAAAAAATCAATCCAAACTCGATATATCCCCGATAAAATGACTGAAATATGAAAGTCGAGTCCTGAAGATATGCTGTGGGATAATCGTAGCGGTCCCAGGGGACGATGAGTGCCCTGACGATCCCAAAAGCATCATTAAGTCATCAGGAATCACCCAACTCGATTATCAGTGAAAAAAAAATTTTTTTTCATCAACAAATTATGGAGCTCACCTGAATATTAATTCTCACTCTAGATTAATTATACACTAATGCATGAAATTTATCATCATCACTGAGTTTGCGGTCTTCGCAATGTCCCCAGATACTTCAAATGTCTTCGCCCCTGTTTTTTTTTTCTTCTTTTTGGGTTCACTACCACAGACTACACTGAGAACTAGAACAGATTCGTCTTCGTGTTTTTCTTTTCAGAACGGCGATTTTACGCCCTCACAGGTTGCGGTCGGAAAAGAAATCTCCGTTCACTTGTCATTCGTGGTAAATTCGTCGGTAAATTCGGGAATTAATAAAAATCAAGGGCCGGTCAGTCGATATAAATCGATATAAGTCGATATAAGTCGATATAAATCGATATAAATCGATTTGAGCCGATTCACTCAACTTAATCGACTTAAGCGAATTTAGTCAATTTTAAAATAATTCGTTACTTCAACGAGAGGCAAATTTTCCTTCGACATAATAACAATTTTTTGGGAATGTTTGTTCGACGCAATGGCCACGCGTTTTTTAATACTGCGCAAATGCTTCGTTTGTAATTGGCGCGAATATTCGCAAGAGATCGGTACAAACAGCGGCATTGCGCCATTTTTTGTACTGCCATCTACCATCCCACACCCCATCTCATGAAATTTCCCATAAGAACGCATCCTTCGGCTGTCATGACAACTTCCATGCTTTTTTGACAGCAGGATCATTTTATTGTGTTCGAAAATAAAATGGATGTGAAACGAGAGATAAAGTGAAAGGGCAAATAGAACGAATACCTAAAATAAGGGATGATTTTTTCACTATGGATAATTACTATTTTTTCTAATCAATCAATTTCACGCCATATAATTACGGGGTAATTACAAAATAAAAAAAGTAAAAGCCTGAGACGATATAACTGAATAAATAAATCGAGTAAATAAATAAATAGAATTACCCCCGATGAATAACAAATCTCATGGATGATTTTTTTAAATAAAAAAATCTCACCCACCGATGCAATGCAATAATTCACTGACATTATTCCCCTAAAACCGTCTTTTTACTGAGAATCTATTTATATCCCATCATTAACGTCCCATTGACGCGAATAAAAATCCATAAATAAACTCGAATCCCTTTTTTTTTTATCTCTTTACCAATGGGTAAATGCCACTCACACGTCCTTGATTACACACTCTGGTATGCTCTTGCACACATTGAATAAAATAACACGCCAAGTAAACAGATACGCGCGTGCGCGCACTATTGCTCATTGTCCTTTTGCGAATACGTACTAGTATAAAAATTGTTTCAACACACGATACATTGGTCCACTGTCCACGTTGTCATACCAATGGTGACCCAGTGGCTAGTATCAATGATCGGCTTCCTGTGACGCAAAAGGTCACTGTCAAAACCCGCGATATTTTCGATCAAAAGATCAGTTTAAATTTTTCAAAAAAAAAATCCAATTTCAAATCCATCAAAAATGTGACATTTTAAATTAACACATAATATCACAGAAATGTGTGCAACCGGTTGATCTACATCGATAAAATCCCATCGGGGTGCGTCAATTGTCAAAACATTGAGGCAAGTTCATTAGTTATTCAATTTTAATTGCAAATTATAATAGCACGATCCTATTTTTCTCCCGTTTTCGCTCGATATCTGGGGAATTAGTGGAGATAGAGAGATTTCGTAGAGGAATTTTTTGTAGCCCGTGAAATAATACACAATTTATGTCCCAACGATATTTTCGCATCTCTTTTGGATTCTGTGGTATTCAGCGAAATCTGAATGCGGATTAAAATTAGATCATCTCTTGTTATCATTTACGTTTTTTTATCCCTCGTAGTGCGAGAAAAATATCATCATGTCGCGTGGACTCCAGAGATTTGTTATTCATCACACAAAACTATAAATTATTCTGAGTTTATTAATGAGCTGAGGAGAGTTAATTAGTCCCGCGATTTTCTACACTTTTTTAATGAGAAAAAATGGCAAATTGTACGATTGATCGATAAATTATTTTAATTGCGATACGTTAAACTATAAAAATGGTATCAAGGAAGAAAAATAAAATTTTTTTTTCAAGTCTGAGCTATCGGATGCATCGAATTTTTTTTTCCATTCCTGACGATATTTGAACACTAATTAAACATTTGATGAATAGTTTATTTAGATCAGGGTTTGCATACATTTCCAGGGTCATACATCAGCTCAAATATTACCGTACGTGCATCACCGTACCAAATCCCATTAATAATGTCTAGACGATACCGATGGAAAGATAACGAAACTTAAAATTCAGGAGACAAATGCAAATTACTCATCCCCAGATCCCCAATAAATATTACCATTTATCACCTACTCTCAGGCATAAACAAATTCAATTACCCATTTTTCCCTAAATCCGCATTCTCCAATTACCAAACGTCCCTAACAGCTGATTATAATAATTAATACCAATCTAATTATTATATCATTAAATAAAATCACAAGAATCAACCAGAACTAACTAACTAATCAATAACAATTGATCAATAAATCTCACGTAAAACTGTCTAATCCCAAAACACCGCTCCTCCAATTTTTATTCGCAAAAAAAAAAAGAAAGAATTGAGGCTTCATAAAAAGATAAGATAAATCTCAATCAATCTACATTGAATAATCAAGGGAAAAATATAGATAGCTTTTTCCTCGAAAATAATCCCCGCATTAATTCGTCGTTCAATTCAGAATAAATTCAATTACCGCAAGAGCTCCGTAACAAAAAAAAAAAAAAATTATCCCCATTCAAGTCTCGAAATCATCACCTAATTTCAATTGACCCATTCACCCGAAATTACGAACCACGTGTAAGAATTAAATCTCCTAAATATTCCCATCATTCTCTCTCTTTATTGCGCCAATCACGTGTTACCCCCCCCCCCCTTTCTTCCCTCAAGCCAAAGGACGAATTAGATTCTGCGCGATTCCTTTCTATTCAAAAAAACCTCCCCATCCAATATTTTTTATCAAACTCCAAAAAGAGAGAAAAAAAAAAGGGGACCGCGTCCGTCCTCTGCGCATGCCCCATAGACATTGAGTTTTCGTCATTGCGTTTCTCCCCTCCGACAAGTGAACTTACACGTCCGTAAAATACCGAATAATTGCACAAAAAACATTTAAAAAAAGAAAGAAAGAAGAATTTGGGGGTCAACAAATTACCCACCGCTATTTATTTTTCATTTATCCCCAGAACCGACACTTGACCGCCAGTTGATATCAAATGTGGGTGAGTTTCAATCTAAAAATAACGACTAGTTGTTAAAATTGTAGTGTAGAATGGTATGAGCACGTGGTTGTGTGAATAATTCATGGGGATGAATGAAAAATTGTCAGTGGAATGTCGCTGAGAATGTGAAAACCCGGGGTATATTTGACCAAGTGGACGCGTGTGATACTGAAGGTAGAGGGGAATTTCTCACGCATTCGTATTGGTTCTAAGCATTGGGCATCGTACGATCATTTGTGGGGAATCGAGTTCGAAACCAACTTGTACATCTCGTTTTAGCTGCTAATGCTCAACCGGCCGGCAATACCGGCAAGCCGACATTCAATACCATTTCCACCCCAATTATTTCCATCTTTTCCCAATTAATTTTCACACAACCACAAATTTTACCAGAAAAGATAATTCCATGTCAATATTCATCAATTGATTTCAATCTTCTTAAATATTTATATTCATTTTTCATGACTATCTCATAATTGTGCTGTTTGAAAATTTTTCTCATTAAAAAGTGATTAGAAATCCAATGGCCTTTCTATCCCCTCCACCATTCGCCTAAGTACCAAAGAAAATCCTCATCAGAGGGAAAAAAAATCGAAAATTCAATTTTCCCCCCCAAAAAAAAACAATTCCATACCAATATTAATTAATTGATTAATTAATTTCTCCAACTCCTAAAATATTTTCATTCCTCTTCCATCAATATACCTAATAATAAAGTTGTTTGAAAATTTTTCATGTTAAAAATGAATTAGAAAGTAATTTAGTTACTCTTTCGGCTATTCACAATTCCTATGAAACCTCACCCGAGAAAAAGAAAAATGAGAAAATTCATTTTACTCCTGACCAGACGGCGATTTTTGTCAACCATTTTCATTGATTTTTCCAGACTAGGGTAGATCCTAAAAAGCTCTGAACGAAATATCAACAATGTGGTTCAAAAAGTGTCAATTCTCCGCGTGACTGACTTCACTCGATTAACTGCGACTAACAAATCAAAAAAACATTTTGAAAAAAACCGCCGTCTGGCAACGCGACCAAACCGCGTCAATTTTCCAATTCCCCCCTCATATTCACCCACGACCTGCGGAAAATTACACAAAAAAAAAAATCTCCCACCACGCCAGAAATATTTGAAAAATCAATATTCTCCACTTCCAGTGCTAATCACCAATAAAAAAATGACTCCTCAAAAAATAAAATCAAGCCGGCGCCACATCGACAATTCAACCGTCTCCCCTGATTATTCTCATACCCGTATCCTCACTATAATAATCATAATAAGTGGTTACCGAAGTTACACAAAAACCCGTCGTGGATATTTCCATGGTAGCAAACCCCTTCGATAATAATTTGTAATTTGCCACTGGATTTCCATCAAGGTTGAGGATGAAAGAAGGAAAAATTCAGTGCAAGTAAAGGCGGGGTTCTATCGCCACAGCGTCTGCGTGCAATCCCAGTGTATGACTAGTCTGGAGTTGAAAAAAAATAAAAAAATCAAAAAAAAAAACAACTCCAAAAAATGTCCAATTTTTTCAAAGAATTCTGTTTTTATCCCTCTAGAATGTTTAGTAAAGATAGTAATGAAGCAAGCGCCCTTAGCATGGCAATAAGGCAAGGACGGGTTTTCGCTCATTCTGTCTGAGGCCGTTGTCGCGGCCAAAGCGAGTCAACCCGTCTCTCACTCACTCCTCCCACTTTTTTTTAAAATTTTTTTTCTACCATCCATCGTTTAAAAGTCAAACGAGAGAGCCTCGCACAATGTTGAAGGTGCCGTTTCTCCTTTTTTTTTTTTCCTACTCAATTTAACCCTTTTTATTTTTTCGCAAAAACACTCTGGATGAGTCTGAGAAACCAGTCACCAGAGATTTTTCAACCCTGAGTTGAGAGGAGTAACTTATATAGCTCAGTGCTACTGCAGAAATTTCTCTCGGCTCTGGGTTATTCCCTGGTGGGACAATTCTACAAATAGACTCGCACCGAGTTGCAAATTCTGTAGGGAAATTCTAAAAAGGATAAAAGATGACAGAGATAATTACGTGATAATTCAGTGAGCATCAACGCGAGTGAAAGGATAATCTATCGACATTAATATGAGAGAGAAAAAATAACATTAACAATGACAAGAAAAATTATTCTTCAACCCCCCGATAAATTCTCCAAAATCCCTCCCTCATCTATCCTCAATCAAAACCTAATCCTCAAATTCGTTCTGGACTTATACCCCTATACCCTGGACAATCCCAGCATTCACCTCATCCTCCCACCGCAATTCTTCGTCGACTTATTCTCAAAGAGAAAAAAAAAAAAACAAATCCCCAAGCTAAACTCCTGGAGTGCAGGAATTTTTATATGCCAACGATCCTAAAGAACCCGAGGAATTAAAAACCCCAAGCCCTAAACTTCATTTTGATACAAATGAGTAGTAATGATAAATACTCAGGGAGTGAAAAATATTTTGAGATGAAAAGGAAAAAAAAAGGAGTACCACCAAGGCTCGTACTGGATTGCTGGGATCAGTGGTGCTTGGCCACGTAGCGCAACTCGATTAGTTGCACGTTGCCCCATCGATACACCACTACCAACTCAGAGTTTACCCACGCTAGGCAGTAGCACACATTTAGTCATTTTTACCTAGCATACGAACCGCTGATGTATCCCCCAGCATAAGCCACTTCATCAACAGAAAAAAAAAGGATCTCATTTAGCTACACCCAAAGATAATCTGAGCTAAAGATAAAGATAGATCTGAGCTAAAACTATTAAAATTACAAATTTGAGGAAATAATATAAACCGAATTGATAAAAAAAATCTGAATTATGATTTAATGCGAAAAAGATAGTTAAAACTAATATGAGCTGAAACCATTGAAATTACTAATTCGACTGAATTATTCGACCAAAAATTCAGAGTTCTGATTTAATACTGAAATAGTACTCAAACCAGATCTGATCTAAAACTCCAAAATTTGATTAGTCTCAATCGAAAAGCTGTACCCAACGCCAGCCTTAGCCAAACCTATTCAAAAGACAATTTCGAAAGAAAGGCAAAGACCTGAATTCATTTGATTCCACCAAAAACAAAATCTAATATCTGATTTAATCCAAAAGCTCCACTCAAAATAAACCTCATCTAAACCATCTAAAATTTCAAAAAAATTACGAAAAAAAAAGAATGATAAAAAATGAGTGTACATCGGGATTTGAACCCACGACCCCGACATTACCAGTACTGAGACGCTACACCCATGTCCTCGATAATCAATCATTTGATATCTCGTGGATCGGTTGATACCGAGACGGGGAAGGGAAATTCGACAGAAGAGTGAATAGAAGGAGAATCCCCTCGTGCCTTTCGTGTTGCCACACACACCCCGGGGTACTCCTTCTGTCCCCCTTCAACCCGCGAATCACAGCGCCCATGAAGAAAAGCCGGTCCGGCGCCGACTAATGCACTATGTTTGTACCCCAGTGTCAGTTTGCTCGAAAACCTCGGGAGAGTAACAACTCAGCGTACGAATTTTTTTTTTTCACCAACTCCACATTTTCCCCTCAAATCAACCTCCAAAAATCAAAATTTCCAATTATCTCGCTGGACTATTTTATTAATTTCACTCCCATCACACGCCGATTAGTCTATCGATTAAACTTTCACCTTTTTTTTCTCCCCGTGATTATTGATTTTTTTGATAGTTCACTTGAATCGACTAGACTTGATTCTTCTCTCTCCCTCTTTTTCATTCAATTCCTGTCGAAAGTTATTTCCTTGAACTTTTAAATGAGGAACCGGCAATTTATACCTGCTCAATCACCGATAAATAAAAGTGCTCAAGGACATTTTTGATACCAATAAATTGATCGAGTTTACGTGAATTTTTCATAACTTATTTTTACTTTAATCTGTTAATTGCAGGAGGAAGAAGTGAACTCAAAAGTGGATCGACAAATTGTACAAGTATTTTTTTTACCAACAATAGGAAAAGGAAGTAGAATTAAGTGATAATGGCGTACGACGATGTAATATTACGAATGGGAGAGTTTGGAAGATATCAGAGGAAAATATATCTCCTCCTGTGTCTACCAGCAATAATATGTGCTTTTCACAAGCTAGCCGGTGGTTTCCTCGGAGCTTACAACCCCCACAGGTCAGTATCAATAAAAAAAAAACTCCAAAGAATACCCCAAGAAAAATTGTAATGAAATTTATCTTGAATAATTTTGCAGATCCACAAAATACCACTGGCCAATCTGCTCTACCTCAATTTATTTACTGTTTAAATCACTAAATTTATGGAATTAACTCAGTTCTCTTGATTTTATTTGATTTTAGATGTTTACTGCCACATGAATTTTCAGAAAATGCTACATTTTACATGAGTCCCGAAGCCCTAAACGCGAGTTACGAGTGGGATCCCAAAACACAAAAAATATTAACGTGTTTCATACGTGATAACGTAACGAGACTTTACGGTAATGATGATAATAATGATACGAATGACGTAACAAGAACAACGGTACCCACGACCTGTCGTGAATTTGTCTACGACACCAGCATCTACAAGAGTACAACAACGACCAATGTATGTTATTACCATAGTCGTAATTATGTCCAGTTACGCGTTGTGTATGTGAATAAAAACAGAAAATGAATGAAAGAAACCGGTAAAATTGTTGGGTTGAAATATACGAACAAAAGATGCGCGAATACTTGAGAGGAAATGGAGAATTGCTTATTACATTGTTGTTAAATAATTTAATAGCTAAAACAATTCTTTTCAAATTCGAAATTCCACGGAAACTACAATAATTCAATGTAATTAAAGAAATTCTCATGTTTCTACTCCCGAAAAACTTAAGATTTCCCGAATTTCCACAGGGGTTGTATTTCTGGAAAATATCTCGGAATCCACGAGAGATATCGTAATTCCTGTGGGAACCTTTTTTATGGAGTGTAATGAGAGCTACAAAAAAGATTCTCAAAAAAATCACTCTATCTCCCTCAGATTCCGAGTTATCTAAGAAAAAGTCATGAAAGACCTAGATCAACTTTTAAACCTCCGCGCGTGGTATTAATTTGTTTTAATGATAAACAATAATTATTCCAGTGGAACTTGGTATGTGATAAAGCCTGGCTGACAGCAATGGGGAACTCATTGTTCATGGTAGGAGTGATGCTTGGCTCAATGGTATTCGGTTGTTTGTCCGATAAATTTGGACGTAGACCAATTTTCTTCCTGTCCTTAGTCATTCAACTGGTAGGTGGTATTCTCGTAGCAGTTGCACCAGAGTACATATCCTACGTCATCTTCAGACTGATTGTCGGCTCAACAACGAGCGGTGTTTTCCTAGTAGCCTATGTAATCGGTAAGACAATCGTCATTATCCAAAATCCAAGACAACAACACGAATTGTCATCATTTCAAAAAATAAACAACTATTTTCCTTCCACGTGGTACCAGCACTCGAGATGGTTGGACCAAAGAAACGTCTCGTTGCTGGTGTTGGATGTCAACTATTCTTCACCACCGGCTACATCATGACCGGTGGATTCGCCTACTTCATCACCGATTGGAGAAAATTGCAAATAGCCCTGACTATTCCCAGTTTTGCATTTTTATTTTACTGGTGGTAAGTAATATCCAGAACAATTACCCCAAACGATAAAATTCAAAATCTTCATCAATCATTTATTTTACCACCAAAGGTTTATCCCAGAGTCAGCCCGATGGCTGCTGACTAAAGGAAAAGTCGAAGAGGCTAAGGACCTCCTCCATAAAGCCTCCAAAGAGAATGGAATGGAAATACCTCGTGATACGATAGACTGTCTCCTCAATGACTCAATTGAGTCGAAATTATCATGCGAACAAGCATCTCTCTTCGATCTCTTCCGTTACCCAAATCTCAGACGAAAAAGCATTCTACTTTTCTTCAACTGGTAATTCATCATTCTTCCCCCAAACAGCTTTCACAAATAAAAATATATAAGTGCATTGTATCCGGAATACATGATCTATCAACCAACCGTCACATGCCAATTGATAACGCCATGTGATTACGTCAAATGAAAAATTCTGAGAAGCTTTATCGATTATTCAAAATTATTACTGAAAATTTCATCTGAATCATCAACGAAATTAGAATAAACAATTATTGTTATTATTCCTATTATTATTGCTATTATTACTATTAAAAGAAGATTTTTCGTGAAACTCTTCACCAGATTAGAGGAAAAATACCGGAAAAATGTTTAATTTCCTCAAGAAATAATAATTTTGTCAATGCACTGATATACTTTTATCATTTCATGGATTAATCATTGATTTTTAATCATCAATTATTTGATAATTAAGGCTGGTGAACAGTGGAACGTATTACGGTCTCTCCTGGAATGCCTCTAACCTCGGTGGCAACGATTACATCAATTTTGTGGTCCTGGGTCTGGTCGAAGTGCCAGCGTACACATTTCTCATCTTCACCCTGGATCGTTGGGGCCGAAAAATTATTCTGTGTGGTTGCATGATTGTATCTGGCGTTGCACTTCTACTGACAATGGCTGTGCCACAAGGTAATCCGATAACACCAGCTCAAATCGTCAGCATTATCAAATTGCCACATCAAACTCATCATCTCCAAGCCCTAACTATTCCATTACTCCCTAAATTACCATCAAATATCTCAAAATCTACCACAAATAGTGAAATTTTTGTCTGATACTTTTTTGTACCTCTCATTTCACTCCACAAAAAAGTATTCATTAAAAATTTCGATATCTGCAATAGATCGATAGATATCTTCTTGGAAAAGTGATAAGAACAGTCGAGTTACCCATTGTCCTATTGTTGGTGGATTCTTTGGAATTTAAGGGGATTAATTTCATTTTTTATTTTCAGACAATACGACAGCTATCGTTACACTAGCAATGATCGGCAAATTAGCGATAACTTCATCGTACGGTGCAATTTATATATTCACCGCTGAGCAATTTCCAACAGTTGTTCGTAACGTTGGCCTTGGCGCTTGCTCTACTTTCGCTAGAATTGGTGGGATCATTGCACCTTACATCAATCATTTGGTGAGTGAAATTCATTATCACCGAATTTCTTTAATAAATTTTAATTGGACGATGAACCGACGACCTTCAATTGGAGAATTTAAAACCAATCATGCAACCTCAAGAGTTAACGGTTCGTCCAAGCCCGAAAATATCTCGTTAAACAATTAAAAGAATAAATGTTACGCATATTTTAGGGATGAGTGAATACTCAGTGGAAGAATTCCGAAAGATTCATCATTATTTCCCAGAATAATTCGTCAGACTACGCAATTTTCCCCTATTTCTGAATTTTTTTTTCTCACAGCCTCCATTAAATTTTAATAATTAATTAATTTCAGGCACTTATCTGGACGCCCTTTCCCCTAGTTATCTTCGGTACAAGCGCACTTCTAGGTGGAATGGCATCAATGATGCTACCCGAGACATTAGATAAAAAATTACCCGAAACAATTCGAGATGGTGAATTATTTGGAAAGTGAGTTGAACCACGATTTCCTACATACCTCGAAACCCCGTGAATTTATCGTAAAACCACAAATAACCTTTTTTCTAGCCAATGAAATTTCCCTAAAAAAAGGTCTTATCGAATTTTTCCCTAAACCCACTGGATCCTCAAATATCGGCCCAACAAGATTCCAATTCTATTTACTCAAAAATCTTTCTCGTCCAACAGAAAAGACACTTGGAAATCGAAAAAGGAGAAGAAACGTCAGCAAATCCAACAACTGGATGTCCAACAATTGAATGACGTCGAATCGATAAAGCCACTTAAAGCCCTAGAGAATGGTGTTCACGATTCAAAGCAGAATGGATGACCCAGTGAAAAAATTCACCCACAAAATACGAATTAATTCTAATCTCTCAGTATTTTCTTTTTTTTTGCTACCACGACTCTACCCCCACCTCTCAGTGCTTATCGCGAGCTAGATCAGTGATTAAAAAACATTAAAACAAGTGCACGAGTCTGTGGATCGGTAACGAAACCGCTCGACAAAAAAAAAAAAAAAGAAAACAAAAGAAATGAACAAAAATGATAACTGACGAAATAACATTTTATAAAATAATACTGTCTACACGGCATTTTGAAAATTCCATATTATACGAAGGCGTTTCATTTTTATATGCGTATTATACTTCGAGTTACTGTGACTGTACAATTGAGGTTGTATTTGTATAATTCATTTGGCAGACTGCATTTTTGATACACGAGTCATAAAATAAAACAAAATATTTGTTGAAATAACTTTTCCATACGCGTATCTATTTATCCCTAATCTATCCTTTATTGAATTTCCCCCAGAGAATAAAAACAATCCCAGAGAATAATTCCTCTTTCGTATTCTTTCTTCTTCTATTTACCAGTTTTAAATTCTCTAGAACTTTTCAAATCTGATGTAAAAAACCGCGTGAATAAATTCCCTAGCCAAAAAAAAAAAACAACAGCGCCAACTTCCCACGTCATTCCCCAGAATCACAAACCCAGAAATTATCTCGTAACCTACATTTCCTCGTGCCATTGGCCAACGAAAAATCTTACCACCTTCCAACGTCATTCAATAGCCCCAAAAATGATGGCAAATTGCATGAGAAAAATTGGCCAAGAGGCATCACGACGTAACGTGAGTAAAATAATTATTCAACAATAACGAAAAAAAAAACTAATTGACAATGGTCATAATGTCTCTATGGGTGACCTTCGTCAAGGCACTTGCTACTGATATCTGTGACATTCAAAAACTCAACATTTGTTTTTATCCATTTATTTTTTTCATGGGGTACTGTCGATTGCAATTTGTCAATTGCACTTGGACACTACTAGTACGCCACATGGAAAGAGGTAAATATGCCTCGACGTAGTGAAACCATTTGTTTAAAAGACCAATATTTATTCCAACAAGTGACATACGCAATAAGATCAATTACTCTATTAATTATGCAACTATATTTTCCGCACAAACAATAGTCTTTCATATCTACATGAAAAGTCTGACATTAACTGAAAGAAATCTTTATCCATTTCACAATTGCATAATTAATAAATAATAATTGTGCAAATCACATCACATGCTTAAGTAATTGCATTGTACTGGCACCCATCGAGATAAAGAACACCTACTGATAGTTAATGATAATTTTTTAATAATCCCCAAGGTTTTTTCTGCATTTTCGAGTGGCAAAAATGGATACGCTACCGAGGCCTCCTTCGAGACGAAGCCCTACAGACTCCACAAATTAGACTCTGGTCCCTCCACCCAGGTGTCCTGCACCCGGGAGGAGGCACTCGAGCTCTACAAAAAATTGCACACGATTAGGCGAATGGAAACAGCCGCTGGCAATCTCTATAAAGAGAAAATCATCCGAGGATTCTGTCATCTGTACTCAGGACAGGTGAATTTATTTATTATAATCTAATCTTTTTTCTAAAATGATTGATTCCACATATGATTATCCCCTAGAGAATAATGAGCCCAAAAGAATCGATAAAAATTCAAAAACAATTATTGATTTAATGAGACGTGAAGAGAATTACACGAAATCGACTTATCAGCGTGGAATAGACACGAATTATAAAATCTTGGATTTAATAGAACAATTATCTCTCAGGAAGCTTGTGCAGTAGGCATGGTAGCAGCCCTGAAGCCCCAGGACTCTGTAATCACAGCCTACAGAGCCCACGGATGGACCTATCTCATGGGAATTCCCCCAGTTGGAGTTCTATCCGAATTAACTGGACGACAGAGTGGAAATGCCAGAGGAAAAGGTGGCTCTATGCACATGTATGCGAGAAATTTCTACGGAGGAAATGGAATCGTTGGAGCCCAGGTTCGTCAACCGCTCCAATTTCTCCAAAAAAAAAAAAAATCAATCACTTGAAATAATCACGAAATTCCCAATTGAATGGTTCCCATCAAATTTTCTACAGTTATAATTATTAATTAATCAATCAACAATTAATTCATTCATTGATTATATGATAATTAGGTGCCACTGGGTGCAGGAATAGGCTTTGCTCACAAATACAAAAAAGACGGTGGAGTTTGTCTGGCACTTTATGGAGATGGTGCAGCAAATCAGGGGCAGATATTCGAGGTGTACAATATGAGTAAACTCTGGGACGTTCCAACAATATTTGTATGTGAAAATAATGGATATGGTATGGGTACAAGTGCCGACCGAGCTGCAGCGAGTACAGAGTATTATACACGAGGAGATTACGTTCCAGGAATCTGGGTAAATTCATTTTTATCCCCCCCAACTCATTCCCCAGATAATTATTCATTAATTAATGAACCATTGGGTCTAGGTCGATGGTATGGATGTGCTAGCTGTCAGAGAAGCGACAAGATTTGCCCTGAATTATTGCAGATCTGGAAAAGGTCCTCTAGTTATGGAAACCGTCACCTACAGATACAGTGGACACAGTATGTCTGATCCTGGCACAAGTTACAGAACAAGAGAGGAAATCCAGGAGGTACGACAGACTCGTGATCCACTCACTAGTTTCAAAGAGAAAATTCTCAATGCCAATCTCGTCACTGCCGATGAATTAAAGGTACTACTGCAATTTTTCTAATTAAAAAAAATTAAATTCAAAATTCTAATTACCTCTTCATCTCCAAAAATATCGATTCAACGAGAAAACATCAAAAGATTTTATTTGTCAAGAACTCAATTGCCGACAAAATACGTCTCTTTATATTTTCTCCTAAAATCGATATTCTGTGGATCAATCGATATTTACTGAATTTGAATCATTCCTCAAGATCTTTATTGAGAATCAATCGATCAATTAATCAATTTTCCAGACGATGGAAGCAGAAATAAGAAAGGAAATAGACGAAGGAGTAAAGTACGCAAAATCCGACAAAGAAGTCGACAATCACGAATTAACAACCGACATCTACGTCAACAGCCTAGAGCCAGAGATTCGAAATGTAACTCCATTCGGTTCACTAAAGCACAGCCGATTGGGGCCAGCAGTGAATGCATCATAAACCCAAAATTAATATTACTAGTTAATTTATTTTGATAAAAACAAAAAAAAGAACAAAAGATAAACGAGAAAATTACTGAGGGAACTTTGAATAATGACGGAAGCTAAATTATTATCGATAATTATCAGTGCACGTAATTGTTCATTAGGAAAATCGGGATAATTTCCACTGACAATTCCAACCAACATCAATTACCAATCAGTAGTAATTAATTATTAATATAATATGAATTATCAGTACGAAATGCAGATAATTTACAAATTATTTCGCTTGTAATCTCATGTATAATTGTACAGTTATCGTTTAATTACGGAATTGTCGAGTGGATGGAGCATCGTACGTGAATAATCTGAGAATCGATGGAACAATTGTATGATGTCTTGTACCTGATCGCAATACCGATATTCTCGTAAAACGAGAGCCTGTTTAAATTATTAAAGATGATTCTAGAGTCTAGAATCTAGACGAATCCGCCAAATAACGTGCCTCTAATTAATCCAATCTCTCAATTTCCCCCATTTTTAATTGCCCCACAAATAAAATGACTTCCCCCAAACGAATTCACTACCTACGAGTAAATAAAAGTGAATATTTAATTAAGAAAATTAATATTATTTCTCAATTCAGCCAGTGATATTCTCACAATTGAAAATATCATTCCACGTGATCTATTTCCACGTTTGAACATTCACGACACAAAATTACAGAGGGAGTACAAAGGTAAATACTGAATTCAGGTCTGTCGATACCAATTCAAACGTCCCAACGACACAATGCTGATTGTTACATCAATTTGATCAGCAATTCGTAGGTCAAAGCCTGTAGAATCGATTGGTCGTCACACCTTTATTAATTCAACAGACCCTACTCTTATTTTTAGTTTAACTCTGGTGAATCGACAGGCGGAACCATCACTACCAAAAAATCATTTCCACTAAACTCAAAAAAGCCGATTAATCCTCAAGATAAATTCAACCCAGCAGAAAAATTGATACCAATTCCACGAATTTATTACCAAGACTTATGTCACCTGATGATCGTGAAAAATCAAAATAGTTAAACACAAAAGGATTGTCCTGAAATTTTTTCATTAAAAAAATTTCACGTACGATTCATCGTGTACCAGAGCAATTACACGTAGAATTGTTAAATGAATTTTATTTTTGGTGAGGATTTGTCGTATGAAATAATCGGATGTAACAGATCCTCCAGAGGGGATTGGAGGACAATCTCGAGGATTGCGTGCAGAATGACAAGAGCCTGCGCATGATCCATTTACAAAATTCAATTCAACGTGCAGCAGGTGGGATCAACTCCTTCATTACTATCACTTCAGTTTCTACTTGCCATTGAGACACATTGACTGATAAAATGGTCAGTGATTGCTCGAGGGATGTATCTATTTTTACTGTTGGTGAGTTTATCCATTCATTTAATAATTCCTCGGCTTTTTTGTCTTAAAAATGATTATCACCTTTAATTCTCTTAGAACGTTTACGATTCAATTGTCAATAAAAAAAAAATCAGTGCGGATCAACAAAATAATCAATTTTTAAAACATTAATTATCGATTTTCAAAATGAAACGATAGATTTAAAAAGATCTCGATATTTTGCCTAAGAATCAATAATTATTTATCGACAAATCGAAAATGAAATGACAATAATCCCCTGATTAATAAATTAGTTGTCAACAAACGAGAAAATTTTATTATCAATTAAAAATGAAGGGGCAAGAACAATAATTACTACCCATCGCGTAAAAATACAGTTCGATTAAATCGAAACACGTGTTCAACTCTGAATTTTTCATAAACCCGCGAGACCGATCTCCCTAATAGAATAATAAATGAAAAAAAAAACAAAAAATCGAGACCTTGATGAAGCTTCAACATCAGAGATGACAGTGAATTTGCGGAACAATCGGACCAATTGTTATTCAATTAGAGTGCACTCCACAATTTAATGAACAATAACTCCAACAATAGAGAAGAGAAAATGGAAAATAATGCTCGATATTTCCTCGTCTTCGAAAATTCAATCGTCTCGACGAGAACAAAAAAATTGTTATTTTTTTCTTTCTCAATCTACAGAGGAGAAATCGAAATCGCGAGACCAGAAAACCGACTACGAGACGGCGATAAAACTTTGTGGATATGGAAGATTTCATTATGGTTTCGTTCTCGTTTGTGGAATGATGTTCCTGAGTGTTGCATTTCAGAATGGAGTCAATGCTTATATTCTACCTTCAGCCGAATGCGATCTCAAACTATCGTCAGAGCAGAAAGGTTTTCTCAACGTCGCCTTCCTCATTGGTAAAATTTACCCTCAATTCCTTTTAATTTTCCCCGTTCTCCCCAATTTTCAATGAATATCTCCAAATCGTGGGCAGATATCGAAATTTTCGTAAAAATCTTTTTTGTAAAGTTAAGTAAGACCTGCCAAAAAGATAACTACAAAAATATCGATATTTTGCTCGGGTACTGAAATATTCCTTCATTAGAAATTGAAAAAATAACGAAAAACGAATCGCTCATGAACCGATTTCCACTGTTGACCAGTTTTCAGTAAATATCTCAAAATCGCCGAGAGATACCGAAATTTTGGTCAAAACCTTTTTTGTAGCGTTAAGTAAGAATTACAAAAAAGGTTATCACAAAAATATCGATATTTTCCTCGAATTCTGAGATATTTCATGAAAACTCATCAAAATCGAAATTCAAGGTGGAGTTCTGAGTTCAGTCTTCTGGGGAGTCTCCGCCGATGCTTATGGCCGAAAAAAAATTCTCGTATGGACTCTGATAATTGACAGCATCGTAACATTAATATCAAGTTTTTCCCAAACGTTTCACGTTCTCGTTGCCTTCAGGGCAATCAACGGTTTCACGTGAGTGCATTTATCATATCCGTTGATTAACACAATTGTTTGATTGGGGTCTTTTTTCATTAAAAGGATCGGCGCACCAGGCTCACTAATTTACACTTATCTCGGAGAATTTCACTCCTCGAAACACCGGGTCAAGAGTATTTGCTACGTGGGATTTTTCTGGACCCTCGCCTGGCTATTACTACCAGGTACATCAAATCCCCAAATTCCCCTCAAATAAGTCCACCCACAACTCCACAATTATCTCATCAACGAGTGGATTTAAAAGAGAAAGTAAAATAACATTTTTTCAAGACAATTAAATTGCCGACAAAAACATTCTAGTCAAATTTTCTTCTCAAACAATTCATTCTCGGAATAATTCCGCAAACCTAACGAACAAATATGAACGATTTGTTTTTCTGGGGGGAAAAAAAGGTCTAGCCTGGCTGATAATTCCCTTGAAGCTAAACCTCCACATCCTAGGATTTGCCTACAATTCCTGGCAGCTATTTCTCGCCCTCATGGGTCTCCCAACTCTGCTGATGGGTTTGATCCTCATAAACTACCCGGAAAGCCCAAAATTTCTCCTAGCGAGAGGAATAAATCGAGAAGCCCTAGAGATCATGAGACAAATGTTCTCCATCAACACAGGAAAGGACAAGTCAGATTACCCCGTGAGTATCTCCTCAAACCAATCCACAAAACCTACTCAAAGATTTCATCACCAGGTGACAGAGCTCTGGGCATCATCGGAGGAGATCCAAACCAAAAATGTACGTTTCGATGACGAATTGAGTGCAGATTCATCCTCAACACTTCTAGTCATCATGAGGCTTTTGAAAAATGCCTGGATGCAGATCCAGGCACTATCAACACCTCCGCTATCTACCTACGCCATTCTCTGCTGGACTATTTACTTCACAAACATGTGTGGGTAAGGAAAATATAGAAATAAAAAACGAGAGGATTTTTTTTTCTTCAATGAAAATTCATCGACAGGTATTACGGACTGGGCCTGTGGCTCCCAGAATTGTTCAATCGATTTGAGAATTTCTATCGATCCCATCCAGACACACCATCAGTCAGTGTCTGCCAATTGGTTGCAAGAAACGATACGATAAAACCAGAATTGCAGAATTGTGAGGAAATTGTTATCGATGAAAATGTTTTTATCAACACTCTAATAGTCAATGCTGTCTGCCTCCTGGGGAATATTATCTCGGGATTTTTTGCGGATCGCGTGGGGCGACGTACACTCCCAGGTAATTAACCCCCATCCCTCCCCCATCCCCAATCAATCCCCAATTTTTCATTTAAATTAAAGAACTCGAAGAGGAGTTTTTGGACGTGAAAAAATAATGACGAAAAAATAATTCCTCCATTATTTTGTGAATATCTCGGTAACTACTGGGCAGAGAAAAAAATCGTGTGAATCATTTTTGTAGTAAATTGAATTCTCTACAAAAAAAGGTCCCCTGACTCCTCGTGTAGACCCAGTATTTTAGGAGATATCCACATAATTATGGGACTAATTTGAATGAATGTCTTTAATCGCTGCAGTTACCCTGACTATAATCGCCGGAGTGTCCGGTTTGACAATATACTTCACGAAGACATCAACACAGATTCTCATAGTGGCCTGCATCTACTCCCTGACGGTATCAGCAGCTAATATAGTTATCGGAAGTGTAACAGTTGACATTTTTCCAACGTACGTTGGGGCACTTGCCATTTGCATGATGACTTGCTTCGGCAGAGTCGGTGCCATTGCCAGTAATTTGGCATTTGGAATGTTATTAGATATCAGCTGTGAAGTACCAATTATTCTGGTCGCAGGAATCGTCTTGTGTACGTAAAATAATCCCAAAAATCTCAATTACAAACAAGTGAAATACAATGTTTTCCATAATTATCCATTAATCTCGAAAATCATTGATTTTAGGGGACAACCATAGGGACCTTTTTTGTAGCTAATTAAATTTCCCACATAAAAGGTCGTCTGATGTTTTCTTCTAAAATCGATAGTTTTCTAGATTAATCGATATTTATCGAAACTGAAAAATTTCACTTGTCTTGTTTTACTAATTAGCTTTATTAATTGTGATTTATTCATCGAATATGAGACTTTTTTCTAATTTAGCCGGAGCTGCCCTAACACTCATGTTACCCCCTGCCACGAAAACCTGATTACGAAGAAAAAAAAACAGCTCCTCTAGAAACCGAGGACAGCAATCGAAAATCGTCGCAAATAAGTTCAACTGCTGATTCTTCATTGCAATCATCAAAGTACTTAGGGATCAATTAGTAGATGGACGAAGCGAATGCTTCAGACATTTTTCAAAAGATTCACAGCTCAGGAATAGATAAAGTCCAGTCTGGACTTGTCAAAAAATAAATTAACTCTCTTGTCTCTTCAAAAAAATGATTATTCCATTTGAAAAGAGTCTGAAGTGCCTCTTTTGTCCACTCATCGTCTATTTTCGATACAATGTTTTGGTGCCTCTAAAGACCCAAACATTGACTCATACCAAATTCTTGTAAAGCCGTGACGCATGATATTATCGAAATATTCGGTTTCTAATAAAATTCGTAATAATAAAACCCTAATCACTAGAATAAAATTGTCGATTTCCTGATAAATCATATCGCAATTGGGCACTTATTACGCGTGTATGAATACGTTGAAAGATTTTCTTATAAATAAAAAAGAATAATAATGACTCACCGGTGTTGGGTGATAAGGATTCACCTCCAAAAGCAGCACCTGACTCCCCGGAGATGTTTTCTCAGGAACCGGATAAAACACTATTCACTAGTCACTTTTGTCGTTTGAACTCAAGTCTCACCAGAAACACAAGCTGCCATCTTGTGCATTGTGCAACGAACCGACAACAAAGAAATTGTAACACTCACTTTAACACTTTTCACTCACTAAAAACCGCTGACACTTTCCCTCCCCACACTTTTATTAACACTTAATTAATTAATTAGTATTTAGTCAATTCCAAAATCCAGTTCAATCAGCAATTTATGTCCAAAACCATCAAAGCACTCGTCAATTTGCAAGAACGGCATGACAAACGCCATCTCATGTGGGATTTTACCACCAATTTTGCCAAAATAATAATCCAACACAAAAGCCTTTGTTCATTGTCCTTTATCATGAATTGTTCAACTATTAGTTCAGCTATTGTCAGAATAATAATCCAACAACACTAGAACCTTTGTTCATTGTCATTTATCATGAATTGTTCAACTATTAGTCATTTATTACGAGATGCAGTTTTATTTTCCTCTGAAAATGGTTCGGAGAGTGAAAACACCGTCCGCCATTCGGCCCAAGTGTTAACAAGGGAAATTATCCCCCAGCACTCGTAATATCCCGAATTTCGGGGTTATTTTTATATCAAAACATTGCTAGAGTCTTTAACGAACTAATTGAAGCGTTTGTAGTAATGATTTTAATGATTTTACCTCAGTTTTCTCCGAAAATACCCGGAACGACGCGACAATCGCCAAAAAACCGGCCGCCATTTTGCAAACGCTAGAAACACGCGGCGCATGCGCGGTGGACTCTCGACGGTTTGAAAAATTCTCACAATAAAGAAAGGTTAAAAATCCATAATATCGATAATAAAAACTCATTACAATAATTGATTTACATTCTGAAAACACTTTATTGCATCAGACAGTGGTAATCATTCGTTATAATATTATTAATATCTATTATTAGTGTTAATAAAATGTTTAATATACAATCGAGTATAGCCCTTTATGTACAGATATAATCAATGAACTCGTTAATTGTTTTGTCAGCGAGAATTTTGTTTATAAATTTTTTGTGGCGTGATTAATGTTATTATTTTTCAATTTGCTCCACTTTGTTATTTATAAATGACAATTCAAATAGTCAATTGTCTCGTGTTTCGACGAAGTTGTGGTTTATCGCAATGACTCGTGACACATTTGGCAAGTATAAAAAATCAAGGCATTCGGTAAATAGGAAATCCATCATTGCAATTCGTTGGATTTCAATAATTTTTTTATTCACTGAATATTGACAACAGGACGGAGGCGAATTTTGAGAGAAAGAGGATAAATTCCTCTTCGCAATGGGCAATCATTTAAAAATCCAACGTACGATCAATCGTTGCGTCGCAAATTCGATGGTCTCGGTTTGTTTAAAAATTATTTCAATGGCTTTTTTTTATCGGTTTTTCGTTTAATATAAAAGGCACAGTGTTTCACAGAGGCAACTTCTAGCTTTCTATAGACTCTCTTTGTGTTTCTTTCGCGATCCTATTTTTACACGATCATAACGCGTCTGTATTTACAGTCTTTTATTTATTCAATAATTTCCCATTCGTCGGGCAAGTTAACAGCGCAAAACCTTTAGTTTCACCTCCTCTCGTTCATGACTTGTCAATTGTATTTTAGATTTATGGATAAATTTTATTGATACTCGAGAAAAGCGAGTGGTCCTGAGCCTAAACTTCGAAGCCACCAAAGGCCTTGGAAAATTCACTCCTCTCCATTTTCTCTAGGAACAACTTCATCAATTACATATCGCTATTAATTATCATAGCAATGACGCAACTCTTCGGCCAGACGTTTCTCATGAATTCTCGTATCGGAAGCGTGAAAACATACATGCCACGTATGTTATACAATAATACGTAACAAAAATGAAAAGAGAGTGAAGAAAACGAGAGGAACTTACAGATCTACCAGCCATATCTCGAAAACAATGGGATTTAGATAAAAGTGTCAGAAGCATTTTTTGTAGCTCGTGAAAATCCCCACAAAAAAGGTGTTGTCACAATTTTTCTTCGAGCCACTTCTTATCGAGATATTCGCAGAATAAAATAACTCATCTCTCGTTCAATCCATCTCTCCCTCGAAATTACATTCACAATTAAAAAAATAATAATAAAAACTCACTTCGACATTCTCCACAGCAAAAAAAAAGGCTCCAATCACTCCATAATCACTTTATTCTTCGCGTTTTATTGATCTACGTATAAATAAAATTTATTTACAAACGAATATTAATTTCGTGTACTACAAAATTCTTAATAAATTAAAATAATCGCACGGCTATAATTTTTATACATTTAATCGTCAATAAATCGTGCGTTTTATCATTTGTATTTTATAAAATAACAAAAAGAAAGTACCTCTTCACTTCACTTTGTGTTAGAAGAAATTAAAAATTTTATCTTAAACGAAGAAATAAATCAATTGTGTTTAGTCATTGAAAATATAGACGACACAATAATTCAATTGAAATAAAAATAAGAAAAAGCTAGAACAATGAGGTATCAAGCTTATTCGAGCAGTCAATTCTCCATCCATTGTGGTATTATTTGTGGATTCGACATTATTGTATTTTTATCTTTTCAATTTTTTATATAACAATAAAAAAAACAATCATTTCGTCATTGAAATGCTGAAGGCATGAGGCTGACTGACAACGTCTGCACACGTGACGCTGCATAGCTTCACACTGAAAATTCTGTCTGATGAATTGGTGAAGAAGAGAGGATAACTCGTTAACAATAAATTTCCCAAAAAAAAGTCATATAACTTTTTTCAAGATAATTCAATGATCCACAAAAACTTCCTCTTCCATATTTATCTAAATCCTCAGGCTCATGAGATATATTAAAAACAAACAGTCATCGTATTACCACTTGTTCAGAATTTTAAACTCCAAACGATAAATAACGAATGGCATTATCTCAGTAATGAGTGGGTCTAGAGGTGAAGTTGAAAGGACATTTTTTCCAGTAAATTTAATGACCAACATTTTATTCCCCAGACATATTCCTCTAAACCCATTGGCTCGATAGATATTTAACGATGTGTCACGTGAGGAATTTGATGATCTCCTGTTCTCCACCAGTTCTCCATGATTTTCAATGAATCATTCACGAGAATTTATCTCCATTGAGTCTGGGGGGTGATGGGGGATAGGGAAGGCACGTATGGCGTTGGTATTTGTCACAATTCATTACCAGACAATAGTCATAACAATAAACAATTCGTTGATCACCTGCAGGGAGCTAGTAGGACTTCTAGCCAGCAGGGACACGATGTCACCTCTTGTCTCGAGTACTTTGGGCCCCATCCCTTGGCAAAACTTATTCGCACGGAATTAGAATCGACTGGACCAGTCGAATTCAATGAATCACCGTACGACAAACGTACATTTTGCCTCTTTGATCTGTCGAAGATGTTGAGGCAGAATCCAGGGGGTACACGATACACCAGCAGTGTACGAGACTCTGGATCATCCAGAGTTGGTGAATTTACGAATATTGGAGTGTCAGACCTGTTGTACGCCCACACACCATCTGATTCTTGGCTCAGCATCACACCTGGAATCAATATTATCATCAAAAAAGTCGTTAAAACCGATTAAAATTCCCAAAAATATCAAAAGTAAGTAATTTCCACAAATATCTCTGGATCGAACAGAAATGTTGAAATTTTTATTAGAACCTTTTTTGTAGGTCTCATTTCACTCCACAAAAGACGTTTTAATGGAAATTTCAGTATTTCCCTTGAATCGAGAGATATTCCGCTTTTTACTCTTCACTTTTTCATTACTGAATTGATTGAACTAATTGGAATTCATTGGAATTTATTGGAATCTATTGGAATTTATTGGAATTCATTAGAATTTAAAAACAATTTAATAAAAATTATAATTAATGGTGATAAGTAATTATTGAATGAGAGAAATATATAAATATATAAATAAATGAGAGAAACACGAAAATATAAAGAAGGGAAAATATAAAAATGGACAAAGGAGAATTGAAAAAAATCTGTTGAAGACATTTGTAAAAAAAAAATAAGAGGAAGCCAACGAGAGATTAAAAAAAAGAGAGAGGTGAGCAGGGAGATAAGATGCCAGAGATCCGGGGGTACGAAGGGGACAGGTATCATTTGCATATTTAGCTCGAGGATGAATGAGGGATTTGTGGCACGCAATATTCGGTTTACCTAGGCCAATTTTCTGTCGTGTCCTTCGAACTGCTGGTGATGATCCGTGATTCTGGGCGAGGCTCGCAAGACAGAGTCCATCACCATCGTGGAGTGAATCGAAGACACTTATCGTTGATGCTTCAACTGGATAAAGTCTTCCCACTCTACCCCCTAGCTCCCAATAGGCCAATGTACACCATTCCTTCTTGTCCTCGTTGTGCTCTGGAATAAAAAATAATTTTCATTAATATCAGCACCGCGGCAATTATCGGCAGTACGTAATTGATTGATTATCAGCGAAAATCATTTGCTGGATGAATTATCTGGTTATGATTGATACACTGGCATTTTTCACGGAATTTTGGATTTAACATTTTTGCGGGATTTTTTTATTGAAAAATTCAGGAGTCGGTCATCATTTTTGTTATTTATGATTATTTATTACATAATTTCGTAATTTATAGACGAAATTTCGGGTGAATTTCCCAGTTTTTGATCTCAAAATATTAGAAAAATGAGAATTCCATTCAAATTCCGGAGAAATCCATTTCTCATCCAAAAAATTCACGCGCACGATACATTCCCTTTGTATTCAATCCCCAAAAAATCCATTAAAAATTGAAAACTAAAATTCCTTGCACCACCCCCGAAAATCTCTCATAAATAACAAAAAAAAATCGCTTGATCCCCGGAAAAATCACCAGACAATTCGAAAAACTGTGCAAAACCGGTAAAAACCCGTCGAAAAAATGTGGAAAAAAGTATATGAAAAAAAAAGGTAGTATATCCATGTAAATAAACGAGGGAGCCAGTGCCGACATTGCAAACTCCCCAAGACCAAGACCCGTTCTACCACCGTCATCAAGACTCCAGCAATCATCTCATCGTTTTCATCCTTGCCGCAGCGTGTGCGCCTGCCACAGAAATTTCTCTTTTTTTTTAAACCCTCCCCCCTCGAACCAAAACCACCTTCCCCCCCCTCAACCTCCTCATCATATTCGTCGTTGAGTTTGCGTAGAAAAACTGCTCGTCTCGCCGCGAAAATTATAATGCTCGACCGAGAGTGGCGGCGGCCCTAACAACCTACACCGGGGATCACGCAAATTGCATACGGCTGGGGCATCACTTCACACATATGTACAACACATACATAGATTTTTTAACAACTACATGCCTTACTTGTGATTATTATCATCATCATTACATCGGGAGAGGGAATCGACAAAATCGATCATGCGACGAGAATTTCTTTTTTCAGACCAGAAAGATTTCCACTAGTTCCACAGTTTTTATTTTGTCATGTGGGGGGGCGGGAGGGAGGGGTTGTATATATTTTTCTTATTTTCGGTTTTTTCAATTTTTTTTTTGACTCTAAGAATTTAGGAATGGACGGGACTGGAATCAATTGAGAGAGTGAAGGGGAATTTTACGGTTTTGTGGATTTTTGGGGAGAGGGCTTGATTTCACGGGGAAATGGCAGAGGAGTTTTTTGAAGATCATTGAATTTTTGGGAAAAAAGGGATCTTGAGGTTTTTTGGAGGGGTTGATGGTTTCGTTGGAAAATCGGGGTTTGGTGAAATTGAAGTTTTATTCGTTCTAATTTGCCACTCTGGAGACGGAACGGGCAAGAGTCTTTTTCAAATATTTCCGAAACCCTTCGTATTTTCAAAAAACTACCAGAAGATGAAATTTAAATCTTGAAATTCTCCACGAATAATCTCTTATCACTTATGCCCTAAAAATTCGTAATTCACGAGATAATCGCCATTAAAACTCGCAAATCGGTTATCACAATCTCAATTACCTCCTCAAAACTACCCACCCGTCTCTCCCAAATATCTCCAAAATGCTTTGAATTACCAAAAAACCGTCGGGAGACAAAATTCAGATTCCAAAATTTCCTTCAAAAAATCCCTTCTCACTTATTCCTTCAAATTCGATAATTCCCAAGATATCCCGCCTCGAAATGAAAAACTGCAACGGAATAAACTAAAACTGGAGGGGATCGGCAGTTGTTGCTTCCACTGGATGTTGAAGGGGTTGGCCGTGGGACAGGGGGTTGGGTAAGCGTGTGCAGATGTTAATGACAAATTTGTGGGGGGGAAAATAAAAATAAAAAAAAGGAATTTTACTTGCACGATGCCTTCCATGTGATAAAAATAGATATTACGAGTTTAACACGGCGCCAAGATTGCGGGCTATCGTGACGATTACGTCATCGGTGTACGGATGGAGACGATGAGGGTTACCCCCCTACCACCCCACCCCCTCCCGCCCCGCGAATAAGTGTTTTGTGGTATGTGTGTGTTACCAACAGGCGCAAGGACGTCCGTTCGCGAAGTAAACTTGAGGCTAATGTTGACCAGCTTTTTGGAATCCATGGATTCCTAAGAAATCATCATCCAATCTCAACCCTAGGGGCAAGTGTGTCTTATCACGAGAATGAATTCACTCAATGGTTAATTAATTTTGTTTAACACTGCATCAATTCCGCGGAATGGTATAGAGAAATAGCGATATGAGAAATGAGGAATCGGCAGGGTGTCGAAATTATTTTGGGTATCTGCGGATGCAGAGGGCTTACAGAAAAATGGTCGAGGAATTTTTTGTCCAGAATTGAATTAGCTAGTTGAGAGAATTTCTGACGTTTTTAGATAGGCATAACGGTTTTCGAGATATTGAAGGAAAACGGGGAGAGAAAATCTTGAGGGTTGGAGAAATTGGGAAACGAAAGTCCGAGGAATTTCATGAATATCTCCGGAGCCATCCACTTGAGGAAGAAATTAAGAGGAACTTTTTTCTAGAGAATTAAAAATCCTAAAAAAAAGTTCCTCTGAACTTCTCTGAATACCCCACGGTTATCGTGATATCTTTAAAAATCGGTGGCGAAAAACTTCCTATCAATTCCAAATTCCCAGAGCCCTCTAATCGCCACCCAAAAAAAACTAATTAACCTCCCTCGATTAATTAAAACTCCGACGCAGGTGGCCAATGGAATTCCTGTAGACGACGCGGAGGTGAGGGGTTTCTGGATGTCATTGACGGGAAAAGACCAGATCATAACGAGTCGTCGTACGATCAAGAATAAATACATAAGTATCAAGCATTTATTGGTTTTGATACAATTCGCATAGGTGTAGAACTTATCGGTGGCTTTTTAGAAGGGGAATTGAGGAGGTGAAGCTCAACGGTAAAAAAGACCGATTGAATGATTCCTACGCCAGTGGAGGCGCCACATACCAGGCGCCGGCTAACCTCCTCCTTCGGACGTATCTCCCTCCCACCCACC